AATGTCATCAAAGTTGAGACGCTCCAAATCTGCCATTGTTTGTCTACTTGTGTGTGTGTGCGAGAGTTATGTTAAAGAATTGCGTGTTTGCCAGGGAATAATCCATGCAGTTTTCAAAGTATGGCAATACTTTTGACTCTAACTTCTTTGTGGAAACACCGGAGAAGCTACAAGCAAGATTTCTACCAGTTCATCCTGGCAAACACGCAGTTCTTTAATTTGACAGTACACATGAAACAAACAACGGCGGCATTTGAGTCTCAACCAGTGTTGTCACTTTGGATGTTTAACATCCAGATTTAGATATTTTTCTTTGCATTTAGATGGCGTTTTTGACGTTTAGATGGTAGATGTTTTTCTAGACGTTTATCATTCAGAGTGAATTTATCAAAATAACATAAGAAACAGGATGAAATTTGACCTCTTAAATGCTATCTAGACAATAAAATTTTGCCTGATAAGAGTAGGAGAAGGCTGTTCCACTTATCAGCTGCCTGATTGGGTATTAAAAGAAATTGGAACAGCTAAAGCATACCATGTCATTTTGGATCTGAAACTTCAACTTCATCCTCCAAGCTAATTTTATCCTGTGGATCTTGTAAGGCAGACTTCAGTAAAGATGAGGACATGATTCTAAAGGCTAAGTCATATCAATTGCTATGTAATTTGTGACTAATTCCATTTGGATGTTTTTTCTAGATGTTTCTCCACGCAAATTTAGATATTTTTAGCTATTCTTACTAGAAAAATAGGTTTTTTGACTACTCTGTTTTGGATGTTTTTTTGTCAAAGAAAAGTGGCAACACTGGTCTCAGCTCTGACGAATTTTGGCGCATCCAGCATATAGTCCTCATCTGGCACCATGCGACTTCTTACTCTTCGCAAAGCTCGGGGAACTTCTCAAGACAAACACATGCTTATGACGAAGATGTGGTAGCTCATGTGCATTTCTGGCTTCGTGAAAAATGACCCCGGCCCCCTTCCCCCCCCCCCCCCCCAGGGATACACAAACTTGATCCACCTTTTTAAGTTGGGTAAAAAGATTGCAGACAGGTTGAGAGCTGAGTCTTCACACTTGCCATCGTCAAGGGCTGTGAATACCCTGGCTCAGCATGAAAATGCTATCACGTTGAAAGACAAAGGTACCAATGGCTCAACACCAGACTCAAAGCTGTATGAAATATAGAACCATGCCACATGTTCTTCGAGTGCCAATCAGTATTTGTAAATTTACATATATATCACAGCTGTATGAACTGAAGTTGTAACTCCATTCATCACTTGTGTACAATATGAGAAAGGCATGGTATAATTGATAAGATGTTGCACTGTTTAGATTCTCTATTTCCATGGTGTGGGGAATTCCTTAGAATTACCCCCCCCCCCCCCCCCCCCCCCCCAACAAGCAGTTGGAGGCGACTAATAGGGGACGTCTCCATCAATGTTAGAGGGCATCTGTGTGAGAGGTGAGGAACCAACAGTCTGCACAAAAATTAACCAAATCTGTCAAATGGATGTACATGCGAAAAACTCAAGTTTAGGTACAGACCAAAGTCCAGAAGTGGACAAACAACCACAACATTCCACCAGAGTTCAGAGCCGGTGAACACAAAAAGATAATTTATTGTGGTATATATTTTCTCTTCCTAGTTATTTTCCAGTGGAGCAAAGGTGGGCGTCTGTGGCTTAGACTTTACAAACGCTTTTCATAATGCCAGGGTGTTGGGTTTGATCCCAGCTGACCGTTTAGGCAGCAATGGCAAACTACTGAACATAAAATTTGCTTGAAAAAAAATCACAACACCCAAAAATTATTGTGGTTGGTTTCTGCAACGTCGAATAAAGAATGCTTAACTAAAAAAATAATGGAGCAAAGGCTCCCAACCTTTACTCACATCAAGTAATCCTTTTGTTTGCTATTGCAGTCACCAATGTCCTGCACATATGTACATCTTATATTATCATCATATGTGCCTTGTCAGATGATCTAGATGTCCATGTTTCTTGTCTTTGGTCGTTTATGTCTGTAAAAATGTGAGGCTGACTGGTGCTCTTTTTCCGTCTGTTTTGATATATTTTCAGTTTTTGATGCTCTGGATAAATTTTGTTGGTATTACATATTGCATAATTTCTCTGCAAGATATTCACCAATAACATCAAATGTCAATTACAGTTTGGTGGCGAGTCAAGAATTGACACCACAGCACTTGGGGGCATTGGCATGCGTGCTCCGTCCTCATCTTACAGCAGGAAAAAGACTGTTAAAGCACCATATCGAGAACTTGATAACAACTGGCAAAATTAAAGAAAAGAGAACAGAGGAGGGCAGAGAGATCAATATGAGGGGCTTCAAAAAAAAAAAAAACCTTAAGAGTGCAACAAAAATTACAATAATCATGTTTTTTCATATTGTTAAGGATGTCAAGTGCGAGTATGTGTGTGTCCACATGTGCCTGTGTGTCAGTGGGTGAGTGACTGGGAGAGACCGCGAGAGAATGAATGAGAGAGAGAGTTGGGGGGTGTTGAGGGAAAGAAAGACAAAATAAACAACTCAAATAGCCAGTTTAAACATAAGCACAGAAATGTATTTGTTGAACATCCACAGAAACAAAATTTAAAATAAAAGAAACCAGGTGAGTGTAAAAAAACAAAACCCACTCATGGTGAATACAAATAATTTAGCATCACAACTGTCTCCTACAACTCACAAGTTTCAAATAAAACCTGTGCAATAATCACACCTAACCTCCTAGAGTGGTTTCCACAGCCCAGATTATTGGGTATTCAATGCACTCTAACAAGTATGCCATCAGAGGCAACTAATTAAAAGTTTGCGAAAGGCATATTGCATCCTAGCTGTTAACCACAACATGCCATTTCCAGAGCAAATACAGATGAGTACCACTGAACAACAGCGTAAAAAAAAAGTTCGACACGCTCCAGTTGGACATCTCAAACTGCCTTCATTTTCAGATCAAATTCAAGTATTAAAAAAGAGAAAATTCCAAAACAAAACAAAACAGAGATTCAAAATTTCTTTGTAAGAAATTACCGTTAATATGGCTAAAAGTGTCTGGAATATTCAACAACACAAAAAGCAGACATAAAGAAATAACACGATCACAAGAAATATAGATGCCTCCATGGCAAAAGATCTTCACTACAATGTGTCCTGTAAACCAGGGGCGGGGGGAGCAATGCACACAAAAATGGGGTTTAAAGACGTAGCAGTGGCAGCAATGATGACCTTGCTACCTGACAACCTCCAATTTTGTTGCTTAAAAAAAAGGGAAATCTTTTCTATTCTTACTAGAAAAATACAGGTTATAAAAATGACTGCGGCTCCTAGCCTAAAATGGGTACTAGGTGAAGTCATGGAAAGTAAAGGCAGCCGGAAGTGCCAATTGGTCTATAAAAAAAAACAGGTAATATATTCCAAAATATGCCTAAGAGCATGATGAGAAAAGGATCCTTCAGTTTACATGAAAAACCATGACTTATTATCAGGGGGGTATGTAACAGTATGTAGTACCAGCACCTTTCTCTCTCTACCCCCCCCCCCCCCCTACCCCCCCCCCCCCCCCCAGCGCTATTATAACCACCAACTATTTAGATACTTTGAGGTAAATACAAATATCTCTGTCTATAGGAAGAAAATAAAGAACAGCTTATTACCCCAGAGGGGGAAAAAAAATCAAAGACTGAATGAGGGGCTGAAATGGCCCCAAAAGCTGAACTGTTACTGTAATTACATGTTTCAATGTCTTACAGCAAGCAATTTTGTTCATAAATTTCCCTTTATCTAGGTTTCAGCACTGTCCTGCAAAACTGTCTTCTTGAATATTTTGCTCTTTATCTTTATGCCTTCCTCTTTTCAGAACTCTGAAAAATGTCTATATTTAAATTAGACCTTCACATATCTCAAAAAATATGTAAAGTAAAGGACCCTTTTCGACACCTTTAGGCACATTTTCCCCAATCCTGTGTCTCAAAAACCTTTTCTTTAATATCTGAGTTCCTATTAGATCTGTTTTCTTATACATGCAATGCATTTTTATTATTCTCTAAATCTACAATACTGCATACGTGCTTTTCAACTTATTTGTTAAATGTATAAATCTTGTTATTTTGCAGCTTCATCAGGTCCAGTCCATTAAAGTTTTTATTGCTTCTGATATTCCAAAAGCAGTAGTAATTTTCACAAAAATATTATCTGTTCAACCATCAAGGTTAGAAATATTCAGTATCAAAATATTGCAAAGGGCAATGTTTATTCTCCTATAATTTCCACGATCAAATTCTGGCCGTGAGCCTAGATATTTAGTTTTAAAACTGCTTACTTTCTGTCGTTTCTCTTTATGATGATGATATACCTAAATACATGAGCTGTGATTTAATTCACACAAAAACAGCTACAGAAATAATAAGATTCACAGCCAACTACATGAGGATCTGTGAAAACAACATACAAGCAATGGCCTTGTGTTTTACTAGTAACAAACCAAGCTGCTGTCTGTGCTACCATCCTGAATCTGTCCCTCAGTTCAGGACGGTTAAAAACATTTGCCTGCTACAGGAAACATGAATCTGTCCCTCAGTTCAGGACAATTAAAATTATCTGCCTACGGCAGGAAACATGAATCTTTCCCTCAGTTCAGGACAGTTAAAAACATTTGCCTGCTACAGGAAACATTTACAAGGAAAAACAACATGCCAATTTAGGTGTTTGCATCAGGAGTGACTGGTTAATACTGGATCAGCGGCTTGATTGGAAATTAGTGAACAACTTCCAGATTAAACAAAAGAAAAAAAATCAATTCACCTTTTGATGACTAACTTTCCTCATATAAATTTCTCTAAAGTTAATTGTTTAAAATATTAGGCTAAGAGTTACATTAAAACACTTAAAAACACCATCAGAGTTATCATTACTCCTTCAGTTTCATAAAAGATAAAGACAGAAAAGCAAACGTGTTAGCTTTAACTATCGGCAATGACATTTAGTAGTCTTCCTGCTCCTCGCCCTCGTCATCAAGCTTTGAGTCACAGCCGACCTCTTCGTAGTCCTTCTCCAGTGCAGCCAGATCTTCACGAGCCTCTGAAAATTCACCTTCCTCCATTCCCTCACCCACGTACCTGGAAGAAATATATTTAAAGTGTTTGATTACTCCCTTCAATTAATATTTTGAAGACACACCTAAGAGAGTATTGGAGGACACAAAACGAAGAGAAACATTAACAGGTCAACAACAACAACAAAATTTAAAACACGCACAAATCAAATGATGCAAACATCAATGGAATTAATGTGGTTGAATTGGCAATGCGACTTATGCAATACTGCATGTGCAGCTCCTAATCTGTCCTTGCTGCTGCTTCCACCTGTGATTAACTGCAGTTCTAGCATTAGACTTGTGACAACACTAGTGGTTGCCTTATGCATTTTGTGTGTATGACAGCAGCTGGATTTTGCCTAAACTGATCTGTACTAGTTTCCAAACAAGCCACCGATACTGATAAGCATTTGTATGTGACTTTACTGACACAGGAAGGGAGCAATTATGGAGTGACTCATGTGCCATGAAGCTGCATTAATTAACCACTGCTGCTGCTTTGCATTCCCTGGCTGTAAACTGTGAAAAGTTCTGGTTGTCTGTCCACTCAAGTCTTGTTCCAGAACTTGAGTTCTGCATGCATGTTTTACAGACCTGGCTTATCTGTATGCAGACTGTTGGTTTCTCGCATCTCAGGGGCAGAGGCACTCTGACTCTGAAGGTAACATCCCTAACTGGTCAACTCTTATGACAACATCCCTAATTGGTCAAATCTTATGACAAACTTGTTTTGGGGGCACTGAGTCTATTTATTCTGTTATCTACAATAGGGCCACAGAACCCACAAAGAGTCCTAACTACTAATAGAAGGAATTGAATAAAGTCACATCAGCTACTTTTTTTTTTGCCCGACAGAATAGATCATAATCGTATCGAGGATTAGAACCCTGATCTTCCCACATAACCGCCCACATTTTAACCATTCCACCAGCAGCTCTACATGCAGTTTATCATCATCCCGTAACACTATGTGTCGTTGGGTCACCAGTTTCTGTTGACTGACTGATCAGCTATTTCTACCTTTGGTGGTCAGTTGCGATGGACTTCATGGTTGCATGCCTGAGGTCTGTCCAGTCAGTCAGGTTCTGTAACCAGGTCTTTCTTGGTCTGCCTCTTCTCCTCTACTGAGCCCTGCAGTATTGTTTCTGAGAGGCCATTAGATCTTATAACATGCCCATACCATTGCATTTTTTGCCTTTTCACTGGTTAAAAGAGGTTCAAAGTTGCCAATGTGTTGTCTAATTATATGGCAAACCTCTTCTTTTGTAATGTGGTCTCTGTATGAAATGTCAAGAATTTGTCTGAAGCATCGCATTTCTAATGCTTGTATTTTTCTTTCAAGTTCAGCTGTTAAAGTCCACATTTCACAGCCATATGTAAATGTACTAATAGCTAGTGCTTACATGTAGTTCAACAGCCAAAAGTTAGAGAAACTTACCAATGCACGAAAGCTCTCTTGGCGTACATCAGATCAAACTTGTGGTCAAGCCTAGCCCAAGCCTCAGCGATGGCTGTGGTGTTGCTCAACATACAGACTGCCCGCTGCACCTTGGCCAGGTCTCCCCCAGGGACAACAGTAGGAGGCTGGTAGTTGATTCCCACCTGTGGATGCAGGCAAAATAATGACATGTCTTCTGCGGAAACAGTTAATGAATGTATTAATCTACACCTGGCACGGGGTTGACGTAATCACCCACAGAGTGCCAACTGGTCTGGAAAACAGGAGTCTAGCATATAGTATCATAGACCTGACAAGCCTCTGGCATATAGTATCATAGACCTGACAAGCCTCTGGCATATAGTATCATAGACCTGACAAGCCACCTCTGGCATATAGTATCATAGACCTGACAAGCCACCTCTGACATATGGTATCGTAGACCTGACAAGCCGCTGGCATATAGTTTCACAGACCTGACAAAACTCTGGCATATAGTATCATAGACCTGACAAGCCGCCTCTGGCATATAGTATCATAGACCTGACAAGCCTCTGGCATATAGTATCATAGACCTGACAAGCCGCCTCTGGCATATAGTATCATAGACCTGACAAGCCGCCTCTGGCATATAGTTTCACAGACCTGACAAGACTCTGGCATATAGTATCATAGACCTGACAAGCCGCCTCTGACATATAGTATCATAGACCTGACAAGCCTCTGGCATATAGTATCATAGACCTGACAAGACTCTGGCATATAGTATCATAGACCTGACAAGCCGCCTCTGACATATGGTATCATAGACCTGACAAGCCGCCTCTGGCATATAGTATCATAGACCTGACAAGCCGCCTCTGGCATATAGTATCATAGACCTTACAAGACTCTGTCATATAGTATCATAGACCTGACAAGCCGCCTCTGACATATGGTATCATAGACCTGACAAGCCGCTTCTGGCATATATTATCATAGACCTGACAAGCCGCCTCTGACATATGGTATCATAGACCTGACAAGCCTCTGGCATAAGAAAGGTCCTTTGTGTGTGTGTGTGTAAATTTGCTACCGTATATGTGGATGTCTACAATTTGTTTCAAAAATTGAGATGTATATTTACTGAATGATCACTCAGATTAACCCAAAACTCACTGTTTATGTACTTGCCGAAACAACTGATTCCTTTAGGCTCTTTAGTAGAACAATATGTCCTGCAGTGGATTCCAGATCACGGTGTCTTGGAAGGTAATGAAAGGAGCAGACTGATCGGCCAAAAGGATCAGTGACACGATGCAATCAAATTGTGACTTAACCCATGAAGAGACAGAGATATTAATAAAAACTAATATCTAAGAATTGGCTTGTGCCCACAACAAATTTTCTCCCCAAGACTCGCTTCATCGCCTCTCTAGAGAAGGACAACGTGTAATATTCAAACTAAGGACAGGGCACAACGGACTTCAAGTTTTTCGCTGTAGGAAACACTGAGATGTGTCTCTGCAACTTAGCACCAGAAAATGCTGAGCATGTACTCCAAGGCTGTAAACTGTTATGTTGCTAAAAGAGAAGCCATGAGGCCTGTTCTAACATCAATGAAGACAAAGCTTTATGGTACACTGGGAGATATAAACTGCACGATAGCTTTTATCCTCCTGATAAACATTTCCTGATAGAAAGATCAAAAAAGAAGAATTCAGGTTTTCTAAGGGTTATTGGTTTGGTTTATTCAGAGTCTGATATAGGTCCTCGGGAAACAAAACAAAAAAAAATTAGAATATAAATACAATATGCAATGGTAAATGGAAAAGATTACAGAAAAACAAAAGTATTTTATACTCAACATTTTTCCTTGTTTTGCTTTTAAAGAATAGTTGGCACACTGTGTGGTAATTTACAGCTAGGCTATGATATCTGCATCTTTCATCACACCCTTTTATTAGCAAATCTGTAAAAGCTGCCTTTAAAAACATACTTGTAAGGCAGTGGATATCCCCCTCCCCCCTCAACAAAAAAATAACCTGGAACTCACACAGAGAATACTCAAGATTTTATGGCATGCACCACAAAAATCATATCAATTACATAACACCTAACCCCTGTGGCCACACACATCCTGCAGACAAATAAACACATAGACGAATGAACAAACTAACCTTGAAACCAGTGGGGCACCAGTCCACAAACTGGATGGTCCGCTTGGTCTTGATGGTGGCAATGGCGGCATTGACGTCCTTGGGGACCACATCTCCCCGGTACAGCATGCAGCAGGCCATGTACTTGCCGTGTCGTGGGTCACACTTCACCAGCTGATTGGCCGGCTCAAAACAGGCGTTTGTGATCTCGGCAACAGTCAGCTGCTCATGGTAGGCCTAGAAACAAGCAGTCATCATCAGCATCCTGTCGGCTCCTTTATATATCACACAGGGCTCGCAGTCTATTTATCAATCCCATTCTAACATATTATTTCTGGATATATTAAATGGAATCCTTTTGGCCTCTCTTATGAATGCTCTCTCTTGGACATTATGAGAAAGAAAACGTAGGTATTCCAGTTTGGGGATTGTGAAAAGGAGGTGGGGGGGGCAACCACAGTCAAGACAAAGCTGTATGGTAAATAGTATCAAGAGTTAAGAGTGCGTGACAGCTTTCATCAAGGCTACTACTGTTCTCCTGATATAAGGTTTCTGACAGTAAGATTTAAGTAGTTCTGCAAACAGAATTGTCCGTAAATCATTGTGAATCAATAAAGCTAAAAACGTTTTTCACCAACCATGACACAGAAAATACTCCCAAAGACTGGACTGTAAACAGGCAGCTTATAGTTGGATTCACGTAAGAATTATGGCCAATCTTGCCATATCTTCCTCTTCTTCTGTGTTCGACATCAGTCATGCTACACATTGAGTCCCGTCTGGGTCAAAAATAGGATTGTGAGTTTAAGGTCCCCACCGGTCCCCCATAGCTTCTCTTGAAATGTGGATCCCCTGGGCCAGATCCAGTCTTTGCTGGGAGAGGTAAGGGCAGTACTGCAGTATGTGCTCAGGGGTCTGTCTTTCTGCTCCACAATCACAGGCAGCAGATTCTTTTATGCCTATCCTGTACAGGTGTGCTCAAAGACCACAGTGTCCAGTCCGAAGTCTAAAAATTGATGTTTGTTCTTTCCTGTTGAGTTTGTTTATGCTGTCACTCTCTGGTCTGTAATCTCTATTCTGCTTTCTCCACTCTTGCCATATGTAAGACTAACACAACTGCATCCTGGGAGTTGTGGTATAGTGGCAAAACTCTCACCTGCCAGCCATGTGTCTGAATCCAAATCTCAATATTTTCACCCCTGAAAAGTGACCTCTGGCTACCAGGCTATTCCAGCCTAAAATAGATGCAGACCTATTTCGCTGCATCTTGTGGGTCAAGGCGGCATAACGGCTAGATCCTCTACTGGCCTGAAAGTGTTGGGTCTGAACCTGCATTAGGATATTTTTACTCCTCCTTGAAAACTGTCCTTGGCTTCCAAGTTGACCCAGTCTCAAACAGGTACCAGCAAAGGTGGCCAGCATGATGCTGACCACATCACTAACCCAGTGCCCACTGGTCAATAAAATACAAGTCTAGCGCCAGATACCTGAGACACCACTGGTGTGAAAAGGGTCCTTTACTTTGCTCAAATTACATCTTGCGGTGACAGTACTCTAGAGGAGTGTTTCCAAACCTTTCACACCCACAGCCCACCAAAACAAGGGATACTATTTGCAGGCCCGCCTGACAGCTAACCAAACACAAAACTGATGCGTAGGATGCCCTCACACATTAAGCTGGAATTATACAAAGCCGCGACATCAGTTATTGTTCTTACTCCCGACCCAAAGTAACCTTAACTATCAGGTGTCATCATATTACTGTTTTATGCCGCTGAACGGAATTTCCACAATTTTTACCTGTTTGATTATCATTCTTAAGGTGTTAAATCCTACAGATGGTGACTGTGGAAGAGAAAAACTACTGATTCTACCATGCTAAATAAGACAGAAATGTTTGGTGGTCCATCTGGAACTATTCCGTGGCCCACCAGTTAAAGAACACTGCTCTAGAGGAGAAATACATACCTTCTCAGCGGAGATGACTGGAGCATAGGTGGCCAGTGGGAAGTGGATACGAGGGTAAGGTACCAAGTTGGTCTGGAACTCTGTCAGATCCACATTCAGTGCACCATCAAACCTGTGCCAATACAAAAGACACTACTATTAGAGCCCTTTATACTTCACAAAGACAAAGTCAAGGGATCAACCCCTATCATTTTTTCCTCTGTTCCCCTCACAGAAAGTCAAACAACAGCAACTGCTCCCTGGCAATCATCCCATTAGATGTTCACACTCCCCCCCTCCTAGTGATCTATACTCTCTACTAGTGTTCACCATACCCTGCAGGTCTGGATACCACACATTTTTAGATGTGTGTATTGCTACAAAGTTCACAGTGTGGGTGGGTTCTGGGGCCCCATTATGGGCCAAACAAGAACAGACACACTGCCTTTCTAAACAGTGTGTCGTAAGAGTCGATTAAATGGGTGTTTCCATCCACTGGGGTGCATGTTCTTGAGACGCAAGGAACCAACAATCTGCATTCAATAAGCCAGATCTGTATAATGGATATGCATGAAAAACTCAAGTTCTGAGACAAGGATAAGGTCTAGAAGTGGGCAAACAACCAAAACTTTCTGCTGGATATTACAGTTTACAAATAAAGACTCTACAAAGTATGTTATTAGTGGTTGCAGTTCCAACTTCACCGCAAACAGGTCTTCCAATAATTGCTTCTCTCCTATGGCTGCACACTCTGGCAAAAGTCCTGGTTGTTCATCCACTTCTGGACTTTACTCATGTTCCAGAACTTTTGAGTTTTGCATGCACATCTAGTTTACAGAAAGAAGTGGCTTACTTGTGTGCAGACTGCTGGTTCCTCCTCTCTCAGGCTTATGCATTCGGAATTTGAAGGTACAACCTCTAATTATAGTTCATTCAACATCTCATGAACACATTTGCAAGCCATTTTCTTGAAAACTGCTAGTTTTTTTTTTTCATGCAGCCTTAGAATATCCATGACACAAACAAAGTGGTATTCTTTAGTCCACAGATGCTCAGGATGCTGAATACCAGCAAATTCCTTTGATATTTTCCAACCATTGTAAACATGTGGGGTGAACTTTTTGATTTTACAGTAAAAATCTGAAATTCAAATTCTATTTCTTGTCTTCATAAAACATTGATAGGTGGAGTAAATTTATTTGTTGTCATTTATGTTCAACTGAGCTGAGTCAAGAAAGACATAACAGCAACTACATATGATATTCTTCTTTAGTGAAAAAAATATTTCCTTAAACTCATGGATATTCTAAGGCGCATGCAAAAAATCATTGTGATCTAACAGGCAGTTTTTGAGAAAATGGCTTGCAAGTGTGTTCATGAGATGTTGAACAAAACAGAGTACCCTTTTACAACATCCCTGTTAAGGGGACTGTGGGTCTGTTCCTTATCCCCCCATCCCAAATGAGGCCTGGAACCCACATAGGGAGTCCCTTTTAACAAAACTGAAAGACTGCAATGTCAGCATAACCAATAACATGCACATGCAATACAGGCATAAGGCAGCTGTTATAAGTGCCCAAACAGTTAGTTACCTATCTTTTACAGAAAGTTCCAAACCAATACCAGCATTTTTTTAGGGGCCGTTGTTTTTCTAGGTAAATTTACGCTCAGTAGTTTGCCACTGCTTTCTGAAGGTCGACTCTAGATACCACTGTCAAAACCAACACAAGACAGTTTGCTGCCAAATGGCCTGCAGCTGGGATCGAAGCTGGCACCACAGCATTATGGGAGTTTTAGCAAACCCCTAATTAGTCACTTATACAACATGTTTGTTAGCGTGGCCGTGGGTCATCTCCCCCCCCCCCCCCCCCCCCCCCCCCCCCCCCCCCCACCCATAGGGCCCTGGAACCCACATGGGGAAAATCATCCACTGATGAAATCCAAGCTCTAGTACATCAAGCACTGAAAAATACATACAATACCTCTAAGCCGCAGACTGACTTCATAAAATAGATCTGAAAAAGAACAGAATCTAACCTGAGGGAGGCAGTGATTGATGAGACTATCTGTCCTATCAGACGGTTCAGATTAGTGTAGGTTGGTCGCTCAATGTCCAGGTTCCTGCGGCAGATGTCATAAATGGCCTCGTTGTCCACCATGAAGGCGCAGTCAGAATGTTCCAGCGTGGTGTGGGTGGTCAGGATGGAGTTGTAGGGTTCAACAACTGCAGTGGACACCTACAGATGATTACACACAAAAACATTAAGTCTGTGTATCCCCATAAACTTGTCTCAGCAATTCAACTGCCTAAATAACATGTTTAATGCACACGCATTGCAAACTGAAAACACAGTCCTAATTTTGCTTCTTCGTCTCTTCCACCTTGTAACTCAGCGAAGTGTCGGGGGAGATGTAACATTCGTTGATGAGCTCTGTCAAGAGCACTATTAGGACTGATGTTCATTTCTGTAAGACTGTTCTTAATGCCATCACTCCATTATTTCCTAGGTCTTCCACTTGCTCTATACCAGTGGTAACGTTTTAGTGTGGCTCACTATATAGCAGATAGTACCAGTGCATTCTTGTAAGGTGTGTAAGAAATCATTTGTTGTTCTTTGATGACTTGTAAGACTGGCTTTATTCCTAGCATTCGTCTGATTTCGTATTCTGTCTTTCCTTGAAACTAATTTTACTTGTGACTGTAAAATATCACCCCTAACCTGCACAAGACTGCAGGGTAATCAACTTGGTGAAGCCTTTATGGATACACTAATTATAACTTTTGTGGATGTTGAACAGCATGTCTGGGATTTGTCCGTTTTAGACAGCCATCCAGGAAATCAAACAGATAGTCAAATCATCAATGAACAGCCCAGAGGGAGGAAAACAGATAAATACAGGCAGACAAAACATACTGCCAAATACTTGTCATTCTCTTCTACAATTTCCTCAGAACAAAACGGCCCGAAGATGAATCTATAGACATGTTTTCAAATCACCTGAATCTGAAATGAATTGTGTCAAAATTATGAAACTGCATTCACAACCCTCAAAGACACACAAGTTGATGGGATTACCATCAAAAGTTAGTTGCAACGTCTAAGTCACAGATGCTGACCATTACAAACTTCAAATACTGGCTGTCTGGTCTTGAAGATTTGAAAGGATATACATGCATACAATTAAAAATGAACAAAATGGAAGATGACTAGACAAAATAGAAGATGACTAGCATTGAAGCCAATCACACAGTATATTAAAGAGTAACAGATGTGATGGCCTGGCCATGTGGCGAGAATGCCCTGGTACCCACGCTGAAGACATGTAGTGGACACAGAGCAAGGGAAACACCATGTAGATGATGGAGTGATGGCATCAAGAAAAGCCTTAACGAAATGAAGACCAACTTATACAACACACTGGAAAGAGCACAAAGATGTTCCTTACTGGGACATGTATGACTGAGTGTGGTTCATTCCTAGTGGAGGATTTACCCCTAGATCCCACAGTGAAGATCAGCTGGGACATAAACCGTCAAACCGCTACTGTTCTACAAGGTCGAGGCAATGACATTAGAATTCTGATTCTGATGTTAAAACATCTGTGATTTGACTAGGGTCTAATCTTCATCAAGCGCGAGTGTGAGGACGATAGGAGTGATAAACTTGTATTGAATTTTGGTGAGCTTTCATTTGCCCACTTATCATATTTGCATATTTTTATCAGCATTGGAAAATTCGTTAAATACACCACCGTCAGCATGAGGAACACATAGCCTTATCAACCTGATTAATAGTGAGACTCTTTGAAGTTCTATTCACTGTTGCTGGACTGAGATATGTTTACATTAAAACCACGCATCCTTCAGTGAATAACCCTCTCATACCCACCCACTCACTGCGCTACGCACCCTACCCCCCCTCCCCCACAACATTTTGATAAAGTAAATAGAGGAAACGAAGAAGAAGAAATATACATGTTCACACACACACATGAGCATAAACAAACATGCTAAGTTACCTGCGGTGCTGGATAGACGGCAAACTCGAGCTTGGATTTCTTGCCGTAGTCTACAGACAAACGTTCCATGAGAAGAGAAGCAAATCCAGAACCAGTACCTCCACCAAAGCTGCAACACACAAAATTACACCTGCTACGTACATAGTTGCATCTAATGTGATGGTGTGCATAGTTGTAGGTAATCAGATTATGAACAGTCGCATATGATGCAATTGTGTAGACATGAGAGAAAATCATTAAGTAAAGTCAATTGCATTAGTAAGTTTTCTTACCAGTTGCCGGAACAAAACTGTTCCCTGCCGTGCAACACAAGACTATGGACGCCCGCCAGGTAGAAGCTTTTGGGTGTGGCCAGTAACCAAGCTTGCACTATCAACATCACCTCATTTTCATCTGCAAATCTCTGACCCCACAAATATCTTTAAATGGGGCAAACAAATTACATAAAGTCCAATGGTGTCAAGTCTGGGCCATATGCTGGATGTTTCAATATTTACGTGTCCTGAAATACTGTTTCTTCTGCATACTGTTCCATGCAGACTAGGTTTCAGTTGCCTCTAATTAATTTTCTCTCGTAGTTGTATGTAATGTGATTGTGTACAGTTGTATATAATGCTGAATTAAGAATTGACATTACAGCACTCGGGACACTCCCATAACAAGTAACTGTCTGACTGTATATCCGTCATACCTTTCACCTGAGTTTTTAGCGCCGACCAGATTTCCTTGTAACTCCTTGCAGCGCAATTCTCCCCAAACAATAACTGATCTATCTGTGCCTCCTCACAACATCCATCTTGTCATACATCAGTTCACCACCAAGTGGTGCAGAACCGGTCAGTCTATCTTCCAGCTCATTTCCCAACACACCGACATGACATGGAAGAAAATATCCAAAGGATGCTAAACTACCCAGGACCTCTGAAGTGATGATTGCCACTCTGCACGGAGCATGCCTGCCTCCACCTTTCTCACCATGCTCTGCGAGTCAATTAAATCAAGGCATGTGTGTACAGCTGATTCTCAAGCCAACGGAAGGCAGTAGTGACTGCCTCCACCTCTATTCTCAAACTAGACGTTGTGATATCATATGCCAGGCTTTGCTGCACTAGGCTTTGTATGTAATGTGACTGTGTACAGTCTTATGTAATGTGAATGTGTACACAGTCATATGTTATGTGATTGTGTTCCGTCATATGTTATGTGAATAGCCATGTGTAATCTGTCCCTAACATGAAAAAGGTGCTCTACCAGACATAAATGGTGCTTGCAAGCCAGTGAACAAACCTGTGAAAGATGAGAAAACCTTGCATTCCAGTGCACTGGTCAGCCAGTTTTCGGATTCTGTCAAGTACCAGATCAACAATTTCTTTTCCAATGGTGTAGTGACCACGAGCATAGTTGTTGGCAGCATCTTCCTTGCCAGTGATCAACTGTTCAGGATGGAACAGCTGACGATAGGTGCCAGTTCGGACCTCATCTAGAAGGAAACATAAATTCACATAATTAGAAAAGTTGGCTAAGTTGGTTTCATCTGCATAGTTTCACTGCATGTCACTCACTAGTGGTAAAACAAGGAGATGTAGATGACCTTAGGAAACCTAGAGAAGGACGGCAGAAAGTGAAATGAAATAGTGTAAAGTGACACGGGAAACCATTGGAAGAAAAGCAGCAATAGAGATCACTTGTGGAGGCCTTATGTGTCAACAGTGACATGAGGAGAATATAGACATAGATGTCATTGGGTCCACCCGTCAAACAGATGCAACGGACTTGACATTTGCATGCTTAAGACCTGACCATTCTAAGAAATTCTGTATCCAGCTTTTTCTCAATTCGCCTTTTCTTCTCAATGTTGTCGTCTATGAAAAAAATATTTTACATACATTTAGACATAGCACCATACAAAAAAAAAAAATAAAAAACCTTGAGTTTTCTTTTATTTCTTCTTCTGAATTTGCTCTTGAAAGGGTGATTTGTGTGTTGTGTTGTGGTTTACAGCTAGGCTGTGAAATATATGTAAATGGCAAAATTCTTATCTGAGGCAAGATGCCATGAAATGGTTAAAACGTGAATGACCGTGGCAAAAGTGGACTTTCGCTAGATGCAAAAATACTCAGCAATAAAAAGATGTCAACTGAAGTCATTTCCGTGTGGGTTCCAGGGCCGCATTGTGGTGGAAAAGGGGAATGGGGAGACAATAGATTCACTGCCTTGTCGATAAGCATATCATAACGGCTGACTGACTAGAAGTTTCCTTCGAAGTCAGAGCACATCTGCCTGAGAGGCAAGGAACCAACAGTCTGCATACAAAAAAGCCAAATCTGTAAAATGGACATGCACCCCAAACTCAAGTTCTGGAACCAGACCAGAAGTCCAGAAACAACCAGAACATTCTGCTGGAGTTTACAAATGGTGACGCCCAAAAAAAAAAAAAAAAAAAAAGAACGACAAAGACAACACTTTCTTGGTCAGCATTCCGGGGCATTACTGTCTCCCAATACAAAGGGTGTTTGGGTATTATTTTCAAAATGACTGGTTTTCTAATAAATTTCATTAAAAAAAAAGAGGGTTGGGGTCTTGAACCTGAACCTGATGGTTGCTTCACATGAAAAATGATATATTATGCAAATATGTCACATGATCATGGTGGCCATCATGAATTTGTTTGGCTACTATTTATAGAAATTTCAGGAGATGTTCTAAAACCATCATTTTTCTCCAGTTCTTAGTGAGTTTGTTCCATATCAGTGCAATGAATTAAATTAGCTAAATAGGAACAAATTTGAAAACAATTGACCAAATATTTCAACATGAAAAGCAAATAAAAAGTGAATAATAAAGTGAATTGTTTTTTCATTTATTTGTCATGTTACAATGAGCATTTGTAATTGCTTGATTCTAAAAGCACCTCCAGTTGAAGTCTGAGCTACTTTCTTCATTAACTGGAGTTAAACTGTAGCAGTAGACTTCAGTCTTTGTTGGGAATTTTGATAATCCTCTACTGAGTTGTAAAGCTTGAACAGAGGTGTGCTGCAATCTGGGCAGTAGATGCAAGTCTGGCTTCTTTTACCCGCAGCCTTACACATCCTGGTTTGTACTTTGGCTTTCATATTTTAAAAAAAATGATGCTCAGTAAGCGGTTATGCTGTGATGTGTGGTCTTAAGGTGTTACACTGTGCTGAAGAACAGCAGGCCTAATAACAGCAAGACTGACATCCTGCCTGAACCTCTTTGCTGTGACCTTATACACAGAGTTGGCAGTTTTGTAGATTAAATGCTCTTTGACCAGAGCAGTGTCAACTAAAAATTAATAAATAATGTAATGGCAGGTACCAATTATAGGATCTAGGTGAGTAGGGGTAGTTTGCACCCAGCTGGCCGAAGCGATCGACACCACTCCCATACTGTTGTAGTATTTTTCTGTAAGAATTGGCCTATTTATTATTCTACCCTCAAAAATTCCACTTTTCCTGTCCTGTCTATAACACCACCGTAGCAAATAGCAGATATCAGGCGAATTATCTTAGTTTCATGACAGGTAACGGCTAACATGACTTTATATTTTGACACACAAAACATGACGATCTGCCTTTTTCAGTTTTAATTGGGTTTTCTTCACACACAAAATTGGCGCACACCCAATTTTGTCTTGCATAGCACCTTGTTGGTATGAAGGAAAATTGTCAAGCTTAACAAGTTTATTTTGTACAGCCTTTCTGCATTTACAAATAGCAATTTCAGCTGTAGAAATGTTCTGGTCTCTTGTGAAACATCCACGTCTTTGTTCAGATGTACCTACATCACCTCCGTCATATGCCCAATTAATGTAATATATTAGCCCTCAATATGTCAGTAACTCGTCAGAATTTTAAAAGTCCAAATGTCATTGTTGCTTAATTCTCTGTTGTTTGCATCTTTCATGCAGACAGTGGGTAAAAATACAGAAAAGACATGCACAAACACATAAATAAATAGACAAATTGAAAAATATATGTATAAAATATTTTTTTTTTATCTTTTTTTTTTTATATTTACAAACCACTTACCAATCACTGTGGGTTCCAGGTCAACAAAGACAGCTCGTGGGACATGTTTGCCAGCCCCAGTCTCACTGAAAAAGGTGTTGAAAGAATCGTCACCTCCCCCAATAGTTTTGTCACTTGGCATCTGTCCATCTGGCTGGATACCATGTTCTAGACAATACAGTTCCCAGCAAGCATTGCCAATTTGGACACCAGCTTGGCCAACATGGATGGAAATACACTCACGCTGGAAAAGAAAATCATTCAAGTAATAAATGTTGTGCATGCTCAATTAAGAACCTTATGGCAAAAAATCTGCAAGCAAGTTACAGAAACAAATTTAAGACTATGCATCTTTCCCATGGAAACTTAAGGATGTGAGTCATGGACTCTCATCCAGGTCTTTAAAGAAGAAAATTTTAGGTTCTGAACTGAAATGCTACAAAAAAATTATCAGAATAAAGTGGACGAAGAAAATGATAAATGCTGACATCGTTGCATGACATGATCATCAAGGAGAACTGGCTCATAAACAGCATTCTCTTCTGAAAGATGAGGTATTTTGGACATGTTAAGCATCAAAGTAGTCTGTAGAGAACAGCCACTGAGGATGCAGTTTCCAGGAAACAAGACAGAAGCCGACCTCCATGATAACGGATACAGAACAGTGAAGATGCACCGGCTATGAAAGCACACAGGGCTGGAGAACTAGCTAGAGAAAGAGAGGCTTTCAGGCATGCCATGAAAACAGCGGCAATCTTGTGCCATGAAGACAGAGACAATCTGTAAAGGACATGCTGATCAACTGACTGATACTTAACCCCACTTTATGATGCAAAACCTGGACAATGAACAAGCAACTAAAAAATGGAGTCTCTCGATGTGAATAATAAGTCATATTTGATGGTAGCAAAACAGTCTACTACAAACACTCCGGCAAAATAAAAATTATATAAGTGAAATATTTCAGCCATATTAAAAGAAACTTTTACCAAAACTCTACTGGAGGGACAAAAGACGATGAAAAAGACCATACGTGTTGGAGATGTTCTGAAATCCCATAAAGATATTGAAACAATTGCATAGAACAAAACAGAAGAATGCAAAGAGTGCCATATGTGATGTACACCGGCAGAAAACTATGATGATGTTGGAGGGAAATATCAATGGTATGGTAGCAAGAGGCAGACAGTGATACAAGTGGGAAGACATCAAGTGATGAATGAACAATAGTCTGATAGAGAGCAAACTAGGATAGAAGACAGAGAATGTTGGAGATCCATTGCAGCCATCCTTCACTGCAAAGATGGCAGCACCTAAGCTGCTGAAACTAATAATGCAGTTAAAACAGCACCAAAAAATCACTTCAAATGTGTCAAACATCTTTTATGATGGCTTCTCCACCTGAAAATCAATCAAAAATCAGTTTCCCATAACTCCTGATGGTAAAACATCAACTTGTCACAAGTGATGATGATGGACAAGAAATTACAACTGATCACAGAATAACCTCAGCACCTCACAGCTGCAGCAGGGAAAGCTCATCACAAGTGATGGCGGGAAAACCAGTTTTTCACAATGACGATTAAAAAAATCAGATGATGGGGAAAAAACTCAAGATAAGAAAACATTGATGAAACAAAATGACGAACCCACTGTCACATTCTTTGAATGTAAAACATCTTAAATGCTAGGCTGTTTGATTCTCTTTCTCAGCAGACACATGAAGGGGGTCAGGAACTGGATAATTCGTGTTCAGAACAACATTTCTGGATAACTTATCCAAGAAAATTTCCAAATTGTAAACTACAACCTAGTAATTTTGGCTGCTGCGAGAGGTACATAAATTAAATGATTAATAAAAATTTAATGTATGAATCATAGCATACATAAATTTATTTAAATTACCAAGTGCTAAAGCATCAATTTCTAGTTTAAATAGAAGAAAACGTATTGCTACTAATGCCCAGTCATTAATTACCACTTTGAACTTGCAAATATGCAATCATTTTGAAAAACTGTATACAATAAGGGCGCGGTTAACGCCTAGAAACGGAAAAATATTGATTCAACTAGTGAGTCAGCAATGGCGCCATGAATAACTTAAAACCTGGAGACAGGTCACAGAGCAAAATGAGGACAGTACACATATTTGATAGAAATTTCCGAGCAATAAATAAAACATTATGATAAAGTACATCATGAGTGTTGAGAAGATGAACTTACCATATCTGCTAGTTTGATAAATTTGACGAAAGTTTGATAAAATGGTGAACTGAAACAGAACCCGCCACTGAGTTACGATAGGAAGGGTAATGTCAAATGTGTCGTCTGCGCAAGGGAGGAAGCTCTTTTATAATTCACCGCCAGTTGCCATGGCGCTGGCTGACGACGTGGAGGTGTTGTGGCTTGTTGTGTGGAAACGACGTCAATAATGCATGCGCATATGGTTACGCTTGAGTGAATCACAATGTTTGTTAGTAAGTGTTGGTTAAATCCTTTGCGCCTTTGCTATTACAACTAGTAGCCTTACAATGGAAACTATGGCTGTAACAAGGGCATTAGCATGGTTTGGTACTCAAGAGTTCACATACTTAAGCATTCTTACGGACTCGATGAATATGCTTAAAAACAAATTCAGGCTTGGTTAATCAGGCAAGAATGGATTGCAACACTAAGCACTTCACGAATAGCGGGTGTGCAAGGAAAGGTCGTGCAAACTATCTTGCTGACACTGCGGTTGCTATGGCTGGTCCAGTACTAGACAGAAGTGATGTTATCAATGCTATGCGCTGTATTTACCGTAACGAGGAGCACGCCAAAGGACATGACTCAGTATCCCTGTCTAGACTGATGGACATTGGGGTGCAACCTGGAGCTGCAAGAAATGAACATTTCACTAAGGTGAGAAGACGTTTCATTATCCAATACAGAACAGGCGTCATCAGTCGTTTTACACTTGTGGAGCTTTTGAGGAGGAAATTGGAGCACCTATGGATTTGTCCGGAGTGTTGTAATGATAATCCTTTCTAATCACTAACAGTTTTTGCTTAGCCTTGACTTTTTTAAAACATTGTAGTGTTCTATATTTAACTATTCATTGATTTACTGATTGTCCTGTTCTGTCATTATGTCACATGGGGCTTGCAGTATATTTCTCCATCCGTCTTCAGAATCTTACGATATCATGGGTGGAATCCAAATTCTCTCCTGAACCAAGGAGATGAGGAGCAAACTCCACGCTGGCCTTGGTGCAGGACACTCATTAAGTAATCCCCCTCTCTCTAACAATGTAACTAGATTCTCTCTCTTCTCTGCTCTGCAGCCCACGGGGTCAAAGAATAAATGCAGACAAAAGAACTCACTGAAGACGAGAGGTAGAAGAAGAAGAAGGATGAGAGAAGTGAAAAGGCTTAGGGAAGAAATCTCAGAGAACTCTTACACAATTGCCAGGCAAAAGACAGGACAACTTGGCCTTCAAAAATAATATAAATAAATTTGGAATCAATGTATAGTTTGTATCCGCATTATTTATCTTACGGAAACATTGTTTTAAAAGGATAGTAGACGACAATTGACACTATAATAAAATCTAATAACCAGAGGACGTTGCAAAAATAACACCAGCATATAACAGTAAAAATAAAAATGTTAAATATTGAATTGAGAATTGACATCACAGCACTCGGGTCATTCTCATAAGTGCTCAGTCTCTATCTTCAGCAGCAAGCGAAGAGTTCCAGTTCCGAGGGTACCAGTAACCCACTGATTGTATATCCGTCTCATCCTTCCCCTGAGTGTTGAGCGTCGGCCAGATTCCCTGGTAACTCCTCGCAGCCCCATTTTCCTTAGACCGTAATGATCTATCTGCGCCTCCGCACAGTTTACTCGCTTCCAAAGGGCCCTCACAATATAGAAAATAATATTAAAATATAATCTTAAAAAAAAATTAACAAATAAAAATAAAAACAGATATCATTAAAACTAATGCCAAACGTGAAATATATAGCTCTGATGTCAAAACAGAACAGTTGTATGGAGCTGAAACATGGAGATAAACTAAAACAGTTGTTAATCACTTTAAAATTTCCATACACTGGTGCTTGCGCAAAATAGAAGGATTTAAATGGAATGGCAGAATCTTCAATGTTCAGAATCTTACGTCGAGAACCAAATTCCACTGAACCAAGAGATGAGGAGAAAACGCTGGCATTGGCAGGACACGCATTAAGTAATCCTGATAACAATGTAACTAGATTGTTCTTGCTCTGCAGCTCACGGGGTCAAAGAATAAATGCAGACAAAAGAACTCACAGAGACGGGTAATGGATAAGAGAAGTGAAAAGGCTTAGGGAAGAAATCTCGAGAACTCTTTCAATAGCAAAAGACAGGACAACTTCACCTCGTTTGGGTGAAGGTCTGTACGCTACTTGGGGATCAAGGGCAGACGAAAAAGAATATGCATATTCATTAATATATAGTTTATACTGGTTTCATCGTCATCATCATAAACCACTTCTGCCGTTAGGTGGCAAGGGGAGGAATAATTGACGATCCAGTGCACGCTGGCTGCTATTTTCACTCAGTGAAGGTGCAGTGTCTTCATGTTGTCGATCAATAATTTCGCGGCCGTCCTCTTGATTCTTGAAGCTGATCTTCTGAGATGTAGTGCTTGTAATGGTATTTGATCTTGCCGCATTCTAACAAGATGGCCAAACCACTTGATCTGATGTTTTTCAATAAGTCTTGTACATGGTGTCGCTCCCATAATTTGTCTGGTAGTATCATTATTCACTCTATCTGGGATGGTTAGGTTGGCGGCTTTTCTCAGACATCTCATCTGGCAAGTGGTTTAACCGCAGAAGACTAGAGTTCCGCCAGAACATAAGGTCAAATGTGATACTGCATTAAGAAAAATAAGGTTCAAAGAGGGTCACGGCGGACATACTGGTATAGGAAAGTCATACTATCCGAAGTCAATAACCTTTTTTTTTATAAAGAGTAATTTCATCGGTATCACCATCTACGCTTCTTTTGTCCTTTACATATACATTACTTTGGCAACATAAACAGCGCATTATACGTTAGAAATACATGTACAACACAGATGCTCTTTACACCCTATACCTTTTCACCTATTTTTTTTATAGACCAAATGGGCACTTGGTGGGTGATGTGGTCAACATCACGCCGGCCGCCTTTACTTCACAGGACTGCAGCTGGTATCCACTCAAGGCTGGGTCAACCTGGAAGAAAAGTCTATTTTTGAAAAAAAAAAAAACCGTC